GATTCTTTGTTCTTCCTCCTTTCCCCACAGAGGAATCATAGTTTGATATGCCCACACCTAGCTTCGTTTTAATCCTCTTCTCTTTCCACTTCCATGTCAGCTGAGAAATGAAAAAAAGCCTTTTTTAATGTGTTTTAAAAGCCTCTTGTAATGTGTTCGAAAGGTGGTTACACTCTGGATTAGGTTGTCTCAGGGGTATATTGTTTTCAGAGCAAAACCATCTCTGACTCACGAGTGGTTTTACTCTTTTCTGTTTGCTGTGTGCTGAAGAAGAGATCATAGGCAGACAGACAATAACTAGCACAGCTGTGTCCAGAGAGCAGGCAACCCTGCATCAGCTATTGTTATTAGCATTGTCATTTAGCTGTATTTATCTTTCATATATACACATGTTGGACTAAAATGTACCCTAAAATAAAAAGGAATATCTAAGTGCGTTAACAAAGAACCCTGATAGTTTTAGATGCACGTTACCATCCAAGAAATACTCGGTAGGGAAGGAAAAATTTGCACCATTTCTGGGAGGTAAAATTGTTTCCTTAATCATAATTCACACCTTCATGTTTTTGGTTTGGCAAGGAGAGAAAGAAATTATGACTCCTGCTCCTCCATGCGCACTCGCTCCCAAAGCAGTGTAACCTATGGTGTGGCCACTCTGCACAATTTATGAACCTAGAACATCTCAGAAAGCCATAATCTCCCTCTGTCATGTGGATAAATTGACATTATATACACTGTGCCTCAGGGTTATAGGTTGCTTTGTAAGTGATAGCTGTATGCAGAAGAACATTAGATTACTATGATACATCTCAGTTAGATTTCTTGCTTAGAATATGAAGCTGAATGAACAGGCCCAAAGTCAGTCATGCAGCCCTATAAACAACCTGCGCTGTAAGTCTCAGTCAACTGTGTATGGTAGTAATAACACCATACTAGCTGTGGTGTCAAGGTCTCTCTTGTCACTGATTATCATGAAAAAAGAGCCATGACAGTTCTTGTTACCAAACTCGTGCCACACCCAAGGTGATCTTGACCTCTTATTTTAGCTACATTGGGACATAGGGACTCTCTTCCACTTGTTTAAAAGCCTAGTAAAATGGGATCCTGGTTTCTTCCCTCTTTCCACTGTTTCCTGGCTCCCCGCTTGCACTCTAGCTATCTTGGCAGGAGCCCCTGTGCAGCATCTAGAGCATTCTCCCATTCATAGGGGTGACTGTGCTAGCATGAGCTGTAGTTCAGATTCTGTCACCTACCTGTCAAAGAAACAATTGCTGCTGTGTTGCAGAAGACCGATCCTTCACCATATCACATTTACCTATTTGCTGTCACAGCCCTATTGTCACACAGGACTCAAAATTTACACGTAGAGTAACAATGTGGGTGTTGATTACTTTTCTTCCTTGGTGGTCTGCTATGTTTTTCTTTGTACTTGGAATATGTGCTGTATTTTCAAGCAAATAACCTTTTTTGACAATTGTCACACCCTCTTTCATGTCTCTGTCCTCTCTCCTGCTCAAGCTGCCTGGCTGCTTACTCAGTCGGGGAAAAAATGACTTCGTTTGGCTTTTGCCTCTTTACCGACTTGAAGTATCTGCTGAGTAAGCACTTTCACAATAAATGCAGTCAGCATACGCATATTTTTGGAAACAAAAGCTCTTCCTCCAAGTATTTATACAGGTACAACTGTTCTGTGGCAAAGGAAGAAACATCCTGAAATGCAACTACACCTCTCCCCACCTTCAGCCACTAGAATTTGAACACATTTTATTTCCGCCTCTATCTTTTCAGTAAGAAGTAAGAAAAATGAAAGTTTATTCATCTTCATGATATTTTTAATATGATTCGATTCAACCTCTGTACTCTGAATTGTGTCACCCAGAGGTTTAGATCACTCTGGCAAACCTGATCCTGGTTTCTAGGGACTGATAAGGTAGCCCATCCTTATTACAGTTTGTTCCTGCAATAGAACTTCTAGACATTGGTTTGGCTCCTAGCCTTCAGACATGATCTGAATTGTATTTGCTTGGAATAGAGTGTTATAAGAGTTTTGTATCAGATAATAGTTGCCTTCATTTAAGCAGGAAGGTTATGTTATAATTAATATCTACCTGGTCATTATGTCTGTAGTCACTAAAGTTTGTTCTGAATACTGTTTTAGGTTGTCATGGTGCAGTTCTGTATATTACTATAACTTTCTTGGGTTTTTTTCAGTTTATAATGGCAGGTATTAACAGCATTGGTGAATGCAAAGGGAAATGGACAGCAAAAAAAAACAGAGTCAGGATCTGATGTACAGCATACATATAATATTATCTGTAACATCCAGACGGAAATGAGTGTACATAGATGTAGCCACAGTTCTTTTCTCCCCACAGTTGTGCTCATATCCTATTACAAAATTTTCTTACGGATCAAGTCCTTGACTGTTTTGACTTATCCAGACTTCTCTTTTCTTTACACACCTTGAAGTTCTTTTTGAGAACATAGAAAGAGTTCAATTAGAAAAGAACCAAAAGAGAAATATTGTTGGCTTCTCTCAAGTTTGAAACTTGAGAACCAGATAAATCCTGTGAGTTTTTTTTTACTATTCACTTTTTTTCTACTATTCACTTTTTTCCCCCTTTTATATTTATCTTTATTGCATCTAGTTTTCATAAAATAGAAACCATCACTATTTCAAGATCCCACAGGTTCCAAAATCTGAAACTAGTCCATGACTAGTAGGCTAAGAAAGTTGTATCATACGTTTAATTTGGCACAAAGATACAGTAATGATGGGGGTTTTCCACTAGTCAGGTAAAATACACTTAATATGTTGTAAAATAATTAAATGATGTCTCACTGAAACATCTTCTGGCTTCTTCTTATTTGTACATTCTGTACATATTTGACCGTAGCAAAGAACTTTCCACCTTGGCAGAGAAAGATATTTAAAAAAAAAAACAAACAAACAAACAAAAAAAACAACCACAAACCCAAAAACAACCCAGAAAGACAAAATAGTCATTGAGGAACTATTTTAGGAAGAACCTTGAAAGAGTGGGGAAAAAAAAACAGATCATTTATCATGACATATTAGTATTTTTCCCTAGTGAAGAGATAACATAAGCAAATGCCTTGTTTATCACTGCCGCACATTTCTATTGTAACTTTTACTTTCTATGAACAGAAGAGGATTTTTTTACTTTTTGTTAATTTTGTAACATCATAGTCTTTTGTTGATAAAAGACTACACAAGGTACTGAGCAGTAAAATCAAACTATCTAATTCTACAAATTATTGTATTTGCCAAAGACATACCAAAGGAAAGATTTGGAGAAGAAAACAGGAATAGTAAGAATCTTAACGGAGAAGGTTTTGCCAACGCAAGAGCAAGCCAAAATTTTGACACATAGAAGAGGGGCTGAGATACATTATTTATCAGTAAAAGAAAGTAAGTAGAAGACAAACAGGAATTCATGTAGAGGTTGATTACAAGAAAAAAATGCTCATTTTCATTCTCGGGGTCTTCCTAGTATAGAAGGTCTGAGGACTCATGTGAATGTATGGTGGTGAAAAAATAATCCTTATAAATATTTGATGAAATCAGAAGAGACAGGAATCACTAAAGAAAAGAAGATTTTTCCTTGGCAGTAAGCTCTCTGAAGTGTTACTGGCCTTGCATTTTATTCTGCTTACATATATTTATGAAGCATTGCATTTCTTGTGCTGCTGTGGTCTAGCTAGAAACGAAGTGCAAAGTGTGTCTCAAATTCAGACTAGGCTACAATTCAGAATTAAATTGTAATATCATTAAATTGACATTAATAAAATTGAATTTAATTGAAATTAATTCAAATTTAGTTGAATTAAAATTACATGTGAACTAAATATTGGGGTTTTTTCTTTCTGCGCTTGCACATAAAATGATAGTTTTATATGCAATTCTTTCCCATTTTAAAATACAAGTTGGCTTTTACATCAATGACACAGATTCAGAGTTAATGTAAGGAAGTGCTACTAAAAGACGTTGTATCAAATTCCTTCACTTTACCCTCTGCTTACTAACAAGACTTCTGACAGCCCAGTCATTTGTTCTATTCTCTTGCAAGTGGGAGCCAAACCTTCTTGAGAGTCCCAAGTTCTGGCATCTTAGATGTGTTTTTTTCTGCTGGAACATGTAAAATACCAAAGAACCTAGTTCTGATCCATAGTCATGCACATTTAATTAATTTCATTAATTGATAATGACATATTTATTTGCACTTTCAGCTTTATAAACTAGATTTCAATAGCTGTAAAAGGGCATATTTTTTGAAACTGAAAAATTTTGCACTGAAAGGAGATTATCTGTATCAATGAAAAAAATATCCACATACTAAACAGTTTCATTGTCAGGGAAATTTTTTAAATTAATTTGAATATAATCAGCATGGATGGTATTTAGGTAAATAATTCAAAACAGATAATTCTAAATAATATTATACTGTGTCTTTGGGAGGAGGTAATGTATACATGTGCTTAATTCTTTCTATAATTATGCAAAGCAAAGGATTAGGGAGACTTTCAAAAAGCACTTTGGCTGGAAAAGGTTGTTGCTTTTGTAACGTGAGTAGTATCAGTTGCAAAGACAGCCTCTTACTTGTCTCCTATAGAGCTAATGCAACCTTTCATTACTGTGCATCTCACAATACTAACCTCCTGTCCATCCTAAAACATTCGATATTACCAGTCTGAGAGTCTGTATGTCGTGTTAAACAACTTGAAAAGGGCATGCCTTAGGAAAGTCTCAGGCGTAGCAAGTAAAGCACCACTACAGTTGTCACTTTAGCTCAGCATGAACATTTAGATCCACATCCTAAGAATAAAATATTCTATGGCTTTGACATTTCTAGTTTCTGTTAAAATCTTGAGTCACTATCTTCTCTTTACCTACACCTCCTGTGTTCAACACACACAAAAGTGTATCAAGGTTACTACTTTTGTGTAAGAAAAAAGAATCCCACAGCATTTCTTTTTAATAACTGTTCAGCTACAAAATTTTATTGGTATCCTTCTATGTTCCCTCTAGAGGATGTAATGCACAAAAGCATTGCCACGGAACATATAAAATTACAAATGAAATTTATTGTAAAAAGTAGAATGTCTTCTAGACTGGTGTCAGTATTTATTTCATTCATAAACCAAAACTGCAGGTATAATATATTCATTGTCAGCAAGTTCATGTGTGTAAATTGCCATCCAACAGTATTGACTGATATAAGACAGATATTGAAAAGACAATTTAAATTTACTCTTCCAAACATAAACTGTTCCACAAAAGCACTGTAAAAACTCCTTCAAGGTTTTGTGTTGTGCTTCACATTTATGGTTAACTACATAATTTGGTTGTGTCATAATCCACTGTGTTTGGCAATTTGGTATTAAAGGCCTGCAAAGCAGATTGAATCCTCACCACTTCACTGGTAGACAGTTTGAGTCTATGACGAAGCAAGCAAGAGAAGAGGTCTAGACGACGTTGACCAGGTGGAGAGAGTTTATTTACACGATCCCGTATCTCTAACAACTGCAAAAGTGCTGAGTCCTGTGATCCCTGAGTATAGGGGTAGTCCAGCTGCAAAATCAAGTCTCGAATTGCTTCTGGGTCAAAGTGCATGCTGTAGCCAAACACTTGGATGTTATTGATTTTCATGTAGCCCAGATTTCTTGAGGGATCAATAAATTCCAGGGGTTCATAGTAGATGCTCTCATTGCCATTTGGACCATTTGACTTTATTCGACTCCTCAAATAGATGTGTACAGTTTCAAAAAATGTCTTCCACTTGTTGCCCAGAGTCAGCGTCCAGTTATAACACTGAAGGGGCAAGTCCAGTTTAGTCCGCTCCCAGTCTGGGAAATTATTTTCATTCACAGGCATAAACCAGCTCTCAGAGTGGCTGCCCCCAAAAGGGTTGACATAAACAGCAAGAACAGGCTCTAAGGTGCTGTTTTTAGTTAGGCAAATTTGAAGAGAGAGGCCCAATATCATATGGACCAGGCTAGACTTGTACTTGTTACTCTTAAGAGTAAGGAGCATCCGCTTGCGCCAAGAGGGATCAAACCAGCTGTTGAGGCGCATGTCGTTGCTGATGAAAATGGCATGGACCTCAATTCTCCGGTCTGTTTTCTGCAATAAATACTTCATTTCCAGGTCCTGAAGGTCAGTCTCAAACCCAATATAGTGCTCTGTCGATTCTGCAACTTCAGGCTTGCAAAGTCCTTGGCTCAGCATGTAGCCAGCATTGCAGCTCCCACAGCGGGTGCGATTGTCAGGAGCACAGCTCAAGCACGCAGAGCCATCTCCAACCGTGCAGGGAAGGAACCCATGGCAGGCAACCTGGTCATTAGGGCAGGTACATGTGTGAGTCTCTTCAGAAAAGCTTCCCAGGAGGCCATTTTCATTGCAGTAGAGAAAGGACTGGATGCGGTTGAGCCAATAGTTGGAAGATCTGCAACATTAAAATAACTTATTTTAACACAGAGACCTGCACACAATAAATACAACCTTGTTATTTTTTATCGGAAAGAGAAAAGTAAAGCTGTTTTTAGTAGCAGATTAAAGAACTAAATCAGATGACAGCATCTGCTGTCAGATAAATTCTTGTATAAATTGCCTTTTGACAATGCAAAATCACAAAAGTAAAGTTTCCATATAAACTTAGAGGCACAACAGGAACACTTGATTCATGTATTTGCTCTCTCTGTATCTCTGTCAAGGAAGGCTAACAAAGAGCCATTTTTCTGTAATTGTCCTCAGATTAAAATCTTGAAATCCTATGCAGTTGAGATTATTTTTCCTCATACTATTTGATCAGCGAGGTGCTTTTGTATCTAAGTGTGTATAGCTCTATACCATCTCTCTTTTTCATTATGAAGATTTTTATAAGCTTTCTTTTTACTGGCTGGAGCTGCTTTGATTTATAGACAGTGAGCCAAAATGCTTTCCTGGAATAGCAAATAGGACCCTGCACCACACTAAAATAGATTCAGTCTTAATTCTCCGGATGACTTCCAGCACCACAATATCCCTACAGGAAGCCATGCATGAGCATGCTGTGTTTACTTTTCATCTTTGGAGATGAAATTAAAAGATCACCTTAATGTTCTTCTTGTCATCTCATTTTGGTTTCACTAGAAGCAACAGTTAATGTCCTATATCACACTGGGAAAACAGATACTGAAACCAACAATTTGGGCTGATGAGGCACAATCGCTAGAAGAAAGACAATTGGAACAATGGAGTTACATGGAAATAGTCAAGAGAAAAATTATCTTATTTCTTTGTCTGTATTTTTCAGTTCTTAGTAATGCAAAGCTTAAAGAACTTGTTTTGGCTGCTGCATAGTTAGATCTATTGTTGTCACATGAATGATCATGGTTGTATAGTTTCTTCCCTTTCATTGCATTGTTTCAAAGAGAAAATGCAAAAGCATCATTTACTTCTGACTTACTTTTTAAGTCACAATTAAATTTGCCTCAAGCATTGTATACTTCAGAAATCTTAAAATTTTTTTTGTTGATTGTTTTCTGACTATAAAATAGATGCTAAAACTAAAAATCTATGGCATCTCAAAGTCTGATTCCTTAGAAAAACGAAAATAAATTACAATAGAATTACATCATTGTATACTTTGCTGACAAAAAAAGATTGTTTAATCTTTTTTTTCTTTCCTTTCTCTTTTTTTGGTTGGGGGTGGGAATCTTGATTGTTTTGGGTTGGGTTTTTTATATACACAGTCTATTAGTATTTTCTAGAAGTGTAAGTATAATAACATCCATGACATGAATGCCTCAACACCGTTCTTCTTTGTGCTTATTTGAAAGTCAGCATTAAGCAAAAATGTTTCGGCAAGTTTATTCCTTCATCTCCCGATTAAAAATCATAAGGTCCGTTCTACAAGCAAGGTCAATGTCAAATATAAAAGTTACTCCAAAACTGAACATTAAAGCTATTGCTCTCGCAGGTGGAACGGGAAGTTCCTGTGTACTTTGTCTGGGTTGTTTTGACAGTCATCTGTACCTACTGAGTTTGCCCTGCCGACTCACAGGAACTGCAGTTCAGGTGTGTTATGACCCTGTTTCCCATTATGGGATGAACTTTGCAGCCAGGCTATGTCTCACATGGTCTATCTGATCGCTGTTGGCCCTATGATGCATCAGAGCAATCAAAACAGAGAGGATCCTTGTCCAAAGGAGTGAAACTAACCTGTAAAGGTCTCTCATTATAGCTTTTTCCCTACTCTTTATGGCACTCTGTGCTTATTTAAGAACTGATAGTGAGTTCCAAAAGCTGCTGGATGCGAGATATAAAAGTCTGGGTTTTTTATATTCCTTTAGATCTTTGGGTTATGCCATTTGCTTTACAACAGCCTTCATAAAGTTGTTACCTTATTTTGATTTGTTACCTTTGACAGCTAACTGGGCAGATTTCAAGACTATGTCATTTGCTTTGTCAAGTGCATTCAACAGCTGATACTGATCAGGTTTGTAAATGTGAATTTTAGTATCCTCTTCCACTTCTCTTGTGAGCATTAGTCCATGCCTTTGAAAAGTTTTGTTATATATTAGGAGTACATTTCCAGAAAACCTCATTTTGTGTAAACCAACTCTTACAGCTGTGGTTTTGAATTCATCTCAGTAGAGGATAAACATTCAAAGACTTACTGTAAAGATTTTCCGTGTATCACAAAGTGTCACTCATAGGGGCTAAATCTGTTTGGCTCACTCACAGAAAACATCAACCGTGCTAAGTAGTTTGTAGCATCTAAGGATATGTTTGCATGATATATTCTAGTCAGAAGAAAGCTAACAGTGCCTGAGCTCCAAAGCCAGAGCTACATGACTACGTTAATTTTTCAGCAGAGATTAGTAGCCTGGATTTGGCACTGTAGTAGTATAGACAAGAAATTTCTGTATGGCTTGGAGGTTAAGCATTTATCTTGGCTTGGACCTCAGGCACAGTTAACTTTAAACTATACACCAGCTATGCGTATTTGGAGCCTAATTTTAGATGTTTTCTGATAGACTTTAATGAGTGAATTTTTGAATATTACTTTCTTGAGGTTTCTTGAGTGTCACTGGAAAGGTTTTGACAGTGGGGCC